GTAGAGGTATGAAGAAGTTAGTTTCAGCTTTGGCTTTGATTAGTACAGCCCACCTTCCACGTTGGGGCCCAAGGGTTGAAGAATGTCGTTGGTTGAAAACGCTTATAGATATGGCCCAGAATTGAAGTCAGTGGAACAAACGCTGTACGGTCTGTCTATTGAAATCCCATCCCCCGTATTAACGACAAACTAACAAAAATATTTCAAAACGTGTAAGGTGAAACACTCCAAAAATTGGTTTACTCTCTTTATGTACGATCTTCCAGTTTATATATATATATATATATATATATATATATTAGTCTTTAATCCTACGAACACAATGAAGCAATTCCTTGACCGAAACACACTTTGATTCGGAAATATCACGAATTTGTAACGCCTTTTCTAATCTGATCCATTAAAGTCACTGTACAGCGTGAAGTCCGGATACGAGCTACAAAAGGGCTACAAATTTTTGTCGATTTTAAATAAACTGAACTGCGAGCACAATCACTGACCATTTGTCCATCCGAGTAGGCTTTTTTCGCTTATCCCCTATTGGACTGACAATTTTATCTCCGGATTGAGACAGGGATGGTCGACTTTTGAAGTAAGTGCAACGGGTGTCAATATGTGTTCTGATTTCTTAGTATCATCGAGGATTCGCAAAATCACTATTGTTCGCTGGTAATATCTTTCATCGGCATTCTCATGTCAAATGACATCCTAAATCCAATAACTTTTTCCCGCCCTCTCCCTCTCTCTCTCCTATTAGATTGATAGGAGTGATATTTCTTTATTCAAACTTGATATTTTCTTTGCAGTCAGATTTTATTTGGTATTTCTCAGGTGGGCTGAGATCACACATTTTCTGACGCAAATTCAAATTCACATGTTTTCCACCCACCAGCACCACAAGCACCATTGAAAAGTGAGAGGAAACGGGTTTGAACACCTGCATATAATAAATATCGTCACATGATACTTGTGTTGTTTTTTTCCCGAAAGAGATTCAGGCAGGCAAGCAATGCGCACTGTGAAGTCACCAAATTTTTGGCCGTTTTCTGACCAAATGTTTTCTTCTCTTGTCTTTGCTTTCCTCACGTTTCCAGGCAAACTTTTATATGATATACATATATGAATACATACATTTTTGCCAATAAAGCCTCAGGCACGAGCTAGCATCATCACACACTGACCAAATGCCATTGTCCGCATATTTCTAGAATGAGCTTAGAGATCAAAACAAGAATGTATCTATCACTCAACCGCGCATACTGTACCTTAGTATCTCATACTGCACCCAATGCAAAGCTTTCATCCATTGTGGAATCATGGATAACTTTGAACTATTCTTATCACCACATGTCGCATTCACTGATCTATGAAGATCGCACGGATGCTACGAGGACGAAACGTGATGCCACAAGGATGAGAACCCATGCGACGAAGATTCCTACGGCAGGGAGATGGTGATAGGCTTTTGTCCTTGGCATTGTGGATCTAACCCATTGGTCAGTCCGGGACTTACAAATAAAAAATGTGATTTCTGTTAGCCAGTGAATGAGTTCCAGTTTGCTTTTGATGTAAAATACTGGAAATTCATTCATCATATCTTTGTGTCCGTTTTAGTATATTGTCAAGTGTGTCTTCCGATGCCAGAAACATGTAGACAATTGCATTTGACTCAGAGGACTCCGTGTTACAAGAGCGAACATCGGTCCCAGTGGGATTTACTCACTACGCCATTGTGGGCCTAGACTGAACCCACTCACACAATAACTCATCTTAACATTCACGCCTGAACACGGTGACCGATTTATCAATCCATCTCGACGTGATTTACTTCTTTACCCGGCCGACCAAGGTCGATTACAGTCTGGTTCGCCTATTCTTGTTCAAAACTTACTCGATCACCGATCAAAGATATACCATTCCCGGGAGGGACGTACAGTGAACCCCTGCCCCACTGAAATTTTCATCCTCACTCGGTAAGGTACTCAAAACGTACTTCTCTTTTTCTATGGAGAGATCGGTTCATCCCGATGGGGCGGAGTTTTGATAAACCCGGTCCATCCGGTGACGTGTGGTCGCTCAAACACCAATCAATTTGTAAGGTTCCCAATATAATGCGATTGGTTGGATTCACTTGAAGCTATAGCGATTTCGCTTGAAGTAGGTATAGAATCAACTGGGATTAAATCTTTTACCACAGTAACCTAGCCACACTCAGGTAGTCACAGGATAGATAAAGTTCCCATCCAATTCGAGCTATTAGATTTCCTAAATACAGGCTCATTTTACTCGTATTCTGAACGAAAACCTTTTCTATCTCGATCCCCCAATAGATGTGCCATCAAGGTGAGCACACGTAGCCAACCAATGGTGATATTACTCTCCTGGAAAAAAACTTTGCAATACAAACCTCGAAACTTTCAGAAAACAAGCTGTGTTCATTCATCCTACCTTTGTTTTTGCTTTTACCCAATGAGTAACAAACTGGTAAGTCAACCGGATCAGTATCAATGCCCATTTGCCGTCAAACTCTCATCTAAATGAGATTGGAACTTACCAGAGCGTTTGGCTTCCTCTTGAGCCATTTGTTTTCTCTTAATTTCCTCGGCACGTTCGAATCCCTCGCTTTCTGCGGCCTCAGACAGTTGACTTAACAGAGCAATCACTCCCTCCGCTTCCAGTGGATTCCCATCCAAGATCAATTCGCTGCAATTTAAATGTACATTCACACACGCACACACTCGCATAAGGGTTGATATTACAGAATGAGTATATTGTGTAAGAGCTACAAGTAAATTTAACGACTAGTTTACTGTTAAATAAAAACCTTAACTCTTGCTATTGTCGCTCACTAATTAAAAGTTGTACCCAGTAGGGGCTAAATGAAGTTTCTAAGTATTCTGCCACAATTTCGGGTGAATTACCGGTGGTGACCAAGCAGTTAAGACTGCTAACTTATCACCCCAGAGAACATCTGCTGAAATCCCACCACCGCCGACCGATCCTTTCCCTCAATACGTAGCCCCAGATAGTACCTTAATGACTGCAATCCTCCCACCCTCCTCCATCTCTTCCTGAAAATTGTACGCTCGAGCATTCAATAAAAGGAAGTAAAAAGATTCTTATGAAAAGTCTCATGACTCACAAGTACTGTCATTTTAGAAATTTCGAATAAAATTGTAACACAACATGGTTTACCACCTATTTAACTATTAATAAGAGACTGCTCTCTGAAATTATGTGATGGCTTGTGCATGTATATGATGCAACGAGCGCCACACGAAGAATGCAATACTACCAGAAAACGGTGTACTCAAATAAATTTATTTTCGATTCATCACATCAGGTGGTCACTTATATAAAACGATCCTAATAAAGATATCTGATCGGTAGGTTAACGCTCTTTTTAAAGCCTTATTATTATTAATAATATTTTTAAAGCTTTTATTGATAAACATATAGGATTGAAGATCAACGCAAGCAAAAGCCCAAGCGTTCCTCTCAAGAATGTTTTCCTTACCGTGCCGTTTGAGGGCAACGATGATCAGGAACTTCGCAAGAACGTTCCTTTCAGCTTAACCGTATATCCTCACTACCACGCAGCCCAAACAAAAGATAAGTTGCCTCATCAGTCCAAATTTTTTCGTTTTATATCTTTTCACGTGCACTTGTAGTGTTCTATATGTTGAACATATGACCAGTAGATTATCAAAACATACTGCTGAGCACAGTCGTGCAGCCCTCTACAAAGGATTAATAAGGTGCATTCGCAGCTCGGTTCTCGGTCACCTCTTCGATAGCAGGCGTGCTGTAAATAAAATGGATGCATTCAAAATAACTCCCACTAAACCTTCGGAGATATTCCAAGGGAATAAGAAGGCGCTTTTCAACCACGGCCGACGCGATTGCAATTCGCATTTTTAATCCAGAGTTATGCATGCAAAAAATTTGGTTCAGACATTGTTGTTTCCCTGAACGGGACAGCGAATTGATTTTGCATAAAACAGAGCATTAACCCTCCTTCCCAACTCCAATCCCCCACACACATCCACACACATCATCTACCACAATCTTAGCAATTAATTATTTTTGACTCCATTGTCCCTTCCCGATTTCATCACTGGCTACGGGTGACATATAGTTTCTAGTGTTTCTTACGCAACTTCACCACTCTCTCGTGTCTTAGATCACAAGCTTCATTTTAATTTGCCCATCTCTCTACGGATTTTCATTCAATCTTTATCCTCTCACCCTTTCTACGACTATAGTATTGGCTATCACTAGCCTTGGCATATTCGCTTGCTCTGTTTCTTGCCGGTCATTGTTCTAAGCTCAGCTTTAGTTGGCCAATCACATATCTGTACTAAGACCGCCTTATATATATAACCACCTGATGCGATCTATCAAAAAATAATTTCTTCGCGAACACCGTTTTCTATATTTTCTAAGGGAATATATTATCAAAAAATTTGACAGACAAAAATTAGAATAAGTCTAGTTTCCTCGTCCTCTGGATAGGTAAGCTGGGTACGGTTGACATTTCAATCGACAAAGTTATAGAGGAATTATAAAGGAGTATTGAATGATGATGAATGTTTGGATTAGACCATTCAATTTTTCACAGGCACTAGGCAATGTTGATGATGTTGGGTGTGGGTTTCATTCCCTGGGAGATTGGTAATACCTCACTATTAGAATGCATTTAAATGCGGTAGAAATGTTTGTGATAATCCGCAAAGAGCACTAGACAGCTGTTTCGTCCTGTTTGGGACTCGTCAGCAGTGCGTACAAGGTGATTAACGTCTACCGTATAGCTCAGGAGAAAGGGTTCGAAGTCATAACCCGAAGGTCCCCGGTTCGAGTCCTGAAAGTACGCACTGCTGACGAGTCCCAAATAAGACAAAACAGCTGTCCAGTGCTCTTTGTCGGTTATCACAAATATTTTCACCGCATTTAAGAGTATTGAATGATTTTATTCAATTTAATGACAAATTTCGCCGTATTGGGAAAATGAACTGAGGAACCGGAGAGCACTTTACAGCAGTTTCGATCTTGATGGGTCTCACTGGCCCATCGATTCAACTGAGGATCGATACTGGGACCCATTTGACCACCGGATGCAATTCAAAATGTAATCAAACGAGATCTCCCT